AGAATTATTTTGGAAGGAATATTTTTAAAGATTTATTTATTTCTCTGAAAGTCAGAGTTACACAGGGAGAGGAGAGGGAGGGAGGGGGGGAGAGAGAGAGAGAGAGAGAGAGGTGGTTCACTCCCCAATTGGCCACAATGGCCGGAGCTGTGCTGATCCGAAGCCAGGAGCCAGGAGCTTCTTCCGGGTCTCCCACACAGGTGTCAGGGCCCAAGGACTTGGGCCATCTTTGGAAGGAATTTTTGTAACCGTCTTCATGTCGCCATTTATTTATGTATTTTTATATATCTTATGAATCTTCTGTGTGTCTTATAGGTTTTTAAAATGTTTCTGGCACATTTGTCAATTTATTCTAGAAATTTTTATTCATTTGGATATTTATCTTGAATCTAAATAATTATTACTGTTATAGTCTGCTATTCACTTTCATTTTGTCATTCATAATAATCCTTTGTCATTGTCCTCTCAAAGTTTAAAATATCTTTGCTGCTCATAGATCTTCCACTCTTTTAATTCTTTAGAGGTTAAGCTTTAAATAGGAAATTCTAACAGCCCATAGGTTACACAGAGGATTATTACCTCGAAGGCATCCTGTGTTATCGTAGAACTTGCTTGGCTTGAACTCGGGAAGATTGTCCTAAGGGAACATATGTAGACGCCTGCTGTTGAGATATAGGCGTGCCAGGAGTCGGGGTGTAGACTTGTGGCCCAGCAGTTCAAACATTGCGTCCTATATTGAAATGCCTGGGCTCTGTCCTGGCTCTGTTCCTGCCTTCAGCTTCCTGCCAACACAGACCCTGGGAGGTGGCAGTGATGGCTCAAGTAATTGGGTTCCTGCTGCTGACCTGGGAGACCCGGATTGAATTCTCAGCTGCAGGGCTTGGCTCCCTGTCCTCCCTGGGGACATCTGGAGAGTGAATCAGTAAATGGGAACTCACCCTCTCTTCCTCTGTCTCTCCCAACTCTGTCTCATACATAACTAATTGTAAAAATAAAAACACTGGAAGCTGCAGCTAAATTCATATTTTCTTTTTCCAAGTCTTTTCTACCACGAGGCTGAATGTGAGTGGCAGCGGGCATCGAGGTGGCGTCAGCAATTTTGCAGAGAAAACAAAACCTTTGATGTTAAAAAGCAGACCCTTAGAGCAGCAGGTGACGGCTCAAGTAGTTGGGTCCCTGCCACCCACGCAGGAGACCTGGGTTGTAGTCCTGGCTCCTAGTTTTAGCCCAGCCCAGTCCTGACTGTTGTGGGCATTTGAGGGAGTGAGCAAGTAGACGGGAGCTTTCTTTCTCTTTCTCTTTTCCTGTCTCTCTGCCTCCCAGAAAGAAAAAAAAGTCAGAAGTTTCTCTAGGCCTGGAAGAGGGCAGAGGTGATGCTGTGAGCTGCCTCCGAGAAGGGACCTGCCAGTGCCTCCAGGAACTGAGAGCGGTGCCCGCTGAGAGTTAGCAAAATAAATAAATAAATGGGGATCTCCGTCCTACAGCTCGAGGAGCCATTCTGTCAGCTCAGCTGAGCGTGGCACAGGACCTCAAGCTTCAGATGAGAATGAAGCCCCAGTCCCTCCCATACGGCCTCGGGAGACCCTCCCTCACCCCGCGTACGGCCTCGGGAGACCCTCCCTCACCCACCGCGTACAGCCGCGTGAGACCCTCCCTCACCCACCGCGTACAGCCGCGTGAGACCCTCCCTCACCCCGCGTACAGCCGCGTGAGACCCTCCCTCACCCCGCGTACAGCCGCGTGAGACCCTCCCTCACCCACCGCGTACGGCCGCGTGAGACCCTCCCTCACCCACCGCGTACAGCCGCGTGAGACCCTCCCTCACCCCGCGTACAGCCGCGTGAGACCCTCCCTCACCCCGCGTACAGCCGCGTGAGACCCTCCCTCACCCCGCGTACAGCCGCGTGAGACCCTCACTGGGGCAACCAGCTCAGCTGCCTGACTTCTGTCTCATGGAAATGATGACAGAATAAACTCGTTTTAAGTTGCTCGATTTGTAGAACTTTGTTATGCAGCATAAAAAACGGAAACCATAACCTTGAGGAGACTGTTGAACTGAGCTTAAGATTTTTCATTTGTTAAAGGGGATCATGACTTTTAGAGGGAAATTATGAGATGGCGTGAAATGTTGATGCAAAGCACCGGGGATCACAGGTGGTGAGATGTGTTGGTGTCAGGCTGGCCCGGCCTGGCTTCCTGCACGTGGCCCTGGGGAGATTGCCCGAGAGTGATGTTTTGCATCTCTGGGGAGATCCAGCTCCTAGAACTGGAATCACCAACTCAGAGCATGGTGGTGACGCTACAGACAGCTGCATTTCAGATTGTATTTTGTTGAACAAATGTTACTGGAATTTACCTAAAATTGAAGAGAATAAGAATTTGATTATTGTCCAAGCATGGACCATGTCTTTTGAAGAATGGTCTTTAAAATCTGCTGACTTGGGAAAAGGAAAACTAGTTTCAGGATTTAATAACCTCTGAAAAATAGAGAAATTTCAGTTTATCTGCATTTGATTATTTACCCGTGTTTGAGTGAATGAGTTAGGTTATTTGGGAAGGCAGTGGAAAAATTTGCTTTTAATGAGCCTCAAACTTACAGAAAACATGCGTATAGGATATAAAAACCTGTTTCTTCCTGGAATCCTTTGAGAATGAGTCACCACCACTATGCTCCATTACCCGCAAACACTTCAGTGTTGTAGCCACAACACAGCTGTCAGCCTTGGGAAGTGAGCATCGGAAACTATCTGATCCTCAGACTCTGTTCCGGTTTTGCCCGTTTTCCCGGCGGTGCCCCCCACAGCACAGGGATCAGTTCAGAGTCACGTTTGGCATTTCTTTGCTGGGTCTTTGTCCAGAAAAGTTCCTGTCTTTCCTTGATTTTCATGGCTTTAACACTTGACAACTTAGGCCAGTTAGGTTTTTTTCTCTTTTTTCCCCCAGTGCACACAGTATTTTATTTTTTTTTTTGTTATTTGAGAGGGAGGGAGGTGTGGGGAACAACCCGGACTAGACTGTTACTGGAATTAAGACTTATTCTATGCATCTGCTCTCCCACAATATGGTGCTGGGAGAGAAGAAAACAGCTTCTACACAGCTGCCTCCAGTTCAGCCAATAAACTGTAGGACTTGCTCCTGATTGGAGGAGAGCAGCGTACTCGGCGTGTGGGCAGCCGAGTTGGGATTGGTAGAGGAGGACTATAAAGGAGGAGAGAGACGGCATGCACCGGGAACATCTAAGGGGAATATCTAAGGGAACACCTGTGTAGCCCCCGAGAGAGCCGGCCGGCGGTGTGCCGCTCCCCTGCGGAAGTGGGGAATGTGGCCAGGGGGAACTGCCCTTCCACGGAGGTGGAGGGGATAGTAGCCAACCCGGGAAGAACCAGCAGCAAACCCGGGAAGGGCCGAGCAGACAAAAGAACAGCGCAGGGTTCAGTGTTGCTCCTCCACGAAGAGGGGGAGCGACAGGGAGGGAGGAAGGGAAAGAGAGAGAATGAACAGACTTATCTGCTGGGTTCATTTCTCAAATGTCCACAATGGCCTCTGGCTGGGACTGAAGCCAGGAGCCAGGCACTCAATCCAGGTCTCCCACACGGATGGCGGGAATCCAGTCTTCTGAGCAGCACGGTGTCTGCATTAGCAGGAAGCTGAAGTCAGGAATCGAACTCGGGCACTCTGACGTGGGACACAGGCACCTTAACCAGCATATATATATATATTTTTCTAAGATTTATTTTATTCATTTGAAAGACTGAGTTACAGAAGTAGAGACAGAGAGAGAGGTCTTCCATCTGCTGGTTCAGTCCCCAGATGGCTGCAAGGGCCAGAGCTGTGCTGATCCGAAGCCAGGAGCCAGGAGCTTCTTCTGGGTCTCCCACGTGGGTGCAGGGGCCCAAGGGTTTGGATCACCTTCCACTGCTATCCTAGGCCATAACAGAGAGCTGGATTGGAAGAGGAGCAGCTAGGACTTGAACTGGTACCCATATGGGATGCCAGCGCTTCAGGCCAGGGCTTTAACCCGCTGCGCCACAGCACTGGCCCTGGCATATATATATAATATATATAAATATTAAATATAAATATATTAAATATGAACATATTTAAGGTTTATTTATTTATTTGAAAGGCGGAGAGACAGGTCTTCTATCTGCTGGTTCGCTCCCAAAATGGCGGCAACAACTGGAGCCCAGGGCAGGCCAAGCTGGGAGTCAGGAACTCAGCCTGTGTCTTCCCCGTAGGTGACTGGAGGTCATACTGTTTGCCCCCAAGTGTGCATTAGCAAGGAGCTGGTATTAGGAGCAGAACTGGGACTTGAACCCAGGCGTTTCCGTACGGGACCTGGGCCTTCCCAAGCAGTGTCTTTACCACTGCTCCAAACTCCTGCCCCAGAGCAGCCCATTTATTAGTGCACCAGTGGCCAAGGGAGCCCAGTAACCAAGCCCAGCGGCAGTTGGTGGGGAAGTGTATTCTGCCCACTCTGGTACCATGGTGCTTTGAAGACTGTGGAAAATGCATAGCATGGATTTCAAGATTCTTTTCACCAAAATAAACCTTTTGTTGCATTTTCCATGATCTTTTGGAGGCACCCTTGTCTCTGTAAAGTAATACAACTAGCTGAATTCGGGCACTCGGTACACGGTCACAGTGCTGGAGGAATTCTGTGATCTGGAGCCGATGGGTTCATGTGACTGTTTCACTTCCCGCGTCCAGAGGAGACCATTTTGAAGTGGAGCGCTTGAGAATTTAAACATGTGGAGAGAATAACCTATTAGCCCAAAAGTAGGGTGTTGAGCTGTCCCAGGTCTTTGTCGGTTACCAAGGGTGACGTTGTGACGTTACAGCTACCTTTGTTCCTGAGTGTACCCTTAGGAAGGTGCAAGCCTGGCTCAGCTGGGGAGAGCTGTCGGCGTGGCTCACCTTGAAGAGATCCCACCAACACACTGGTAACGACAGCTTTCTTCCTTTTTTTTTTTTTTTTTTTTTTTTTTGCTCTGCTGTAGGACATAATGATTACATTTGTCCAGCTACAAATCAGTGCACCATAGATAAGAACCGGCGCAAAAGCTGCCAGGCCTGCCGACTTCGGAAGTGCTATGAAGTGGGGATGGTGAAGTGTGGTGAGTGTTCGCTCCTCTGTCATCGTATGGGGTTCCCGCTGAAAGCCGCGTCTCCGTCCCCCTGCCTGAGAGGAGACGGAGGACCTGGTGGTTACCCTCACTTGTGTTTGTATGCTGTCCTGTAGCAGGGGGCGTTGACTGATTCCCTGTGCTTGGACAGGACACAGCTGGGGTGAGTAGCCGCAGGCTGTAGGAGGCAGGTTAGGGTCCAATACAGGCAAGAACTTTCTAAGTTCAAGTGGTCTGCCATAGAATAGGCTGCACATGCTCTAGCCACTGAAGTGCTCCAACAGGCTGGTTGACCACCGGCCTGAGACCTTGAAAGTCCCATCCTGAGGAGGAGGGCCTGGCAGCTGGCCACGATCCACAGCTTGTGACAGGCAGTTAACCTCCTGTGGGTAATCTGGATGAATATGGCAAAGATTCACACCTACCCTCGTGCTGGTGTCAAGGAGTACAAAATATATATACATAGGAGTCAGGAGCACGGTAGAGCTATGCAGCTACGTGCAGTATAGATTCCATGGTGCTGTGTGTGCGTGTGTGTGTGACAGAATACACACGTACGTGTGTAAATGTAAGGCAGGTGAAGCTGCTTCGGAAGGCTCATGGAAAGTGAAATAAAAGATAACTTTATTTTGGTGTGAATTTTTTTTCAAGGCCATGCATGTAAGTCCCCAAAGAATTCATGGAAAATGCATAATCTGAAAAAACTGGACATGAGTTTCAAAAATTTTTTACACCAAAATAAACTTATCTTTTATTCCATTTCACATTAACAGTTGGACAAATGTTATATATGACTTGTTATGTGTGTAATATATGCATATATGTTTATATGTCATACAGATATATACACAAGTATTTTTTATAAATACAGACATAAAAAAAAATGAGTGCTTTAGTGCAACAGCTGACAAAGGTGCCTGGTTCCTGTCCTCTCCAGCTGGTTAGCACTCAGTTCACTTGTGTGGACATACTTGCTTGTTCATAGGAACTTTTTTTTTTTTTTAAGATTTCTTTATTTATTTGAGAGAGAGAAAGGTCTTCCATCTGCTGGTTCACTCCCCAAATTGGCTGCAACAGCCAGAGCTGTGCTGATCCGGTGCCAGGAGCCAGGAGCTTCTTCCAGGTCTCTCACATGGGTGCAGGGGCCCAAGGACTTGGGCCATCTTCTATTGCTTTCCCAGGCCATAGCAGAGAGCTGGATCGGAAGTGGAGCAGCCGGGATGCGAACTGGCGCCCATATGGGATGCCGGTGCCACAGGTCACAGCTTTACCCACTATGCCACAGCGCCGGCCCCCGTAAGAACTCTTATCGGCCCTGCTTGTGTTTTTCTTATCCTTCTGCTAGCCCACATTTTCCCTGTGATTAGTTGTAATGTTTCTCTGCAACTAATAATTTGAAGAATTGAAAGTAAAAGTCTCGGCCGGCGCCGCAGCTCAATAGGCTAATCCTCCGCCTAGCGGCGCCGGCACACCGGGTTCTAGTCCCGGTCGGGGCGCCGGATTCTGTCCCGGTTGCCCCTCTTCCAGGCCAGCCCTCTGCTGTGGCCAGGGAGTGCAGTGGAGGAAGGCCCAGGTGCTTGGGCCCTGCACCCCATGGGAGACCAGGAAAAGCACCTGGCTCCTGGCTCCTGCCATCGGATCGGCGCGGTGCGCCGGCCGCAGCGCGCCGGCCGCGGCGGCCATTGGAGGGTGAACCAACGGCAAAGGAAGACCTTTCTCTCTGTCCCTCTCTCTCACTGTCCACTCTGCCTGTCAAAAAAAAAAAAAAAAAAAGTCTCTTCTCCTTGACCATCTCTTAGTAGCTCTGCATTTGAACACACTCTGTCCTCCTCTGCGTGCACAAAAGATTAGAACTCTCACCTCGTTCGGAATGCACACAGTTCTAATTTGCTCGCACTGCCCTGCCTCCTGGAGCCGCCCACGTGCTCTCTGCCGGCTGTGACCCTGTGACCCTGTGACCCTGTGACCCCAGTGTTGCTGCTCCCTCAAGCACTGACCATTTCTGTTCCACTGCTACAGGTACACCCTTGTCAGAGACCGTGGGCTGCTCCTCGCACCTGCTTCGTCTTACTGTAATTCTTACATCAAAGTTTTGCAAGCATGGGAAATGTGAGCAGGGAGATGGAAGCTTAGTTGAAAGCTTTCAATAAAACTATAAAGAGGAGCAGGCATTCCGTGCAGTGGTTAAGGTGCACCTGCACCCCATGGTGGAGTGTCTGGGTTTGAGTCTCTGACTTCTGTTCCTGTTCTCAGTTTCCTGCTAATGTGCACCCCGGGAGGCCACATGTGCTGAGTAACTAAAGTAGTGGGGCCCTGCCACCCCCTTGGGAGACCCAGATTGAATTCCAGCTCCTGGCTTCAGCCTGGCCCAGCCCCAGTTGTTGCAGGCATTTGGAGAGTGAACCAGCAGATGGAAGATCTCTTCCCCCTTCCCCATCTCTGTCTCTCCTTAAAATAGTAAATGAATAATCATAATCATAATAAGTCGTGTAGGACTAGTAGCTGTTAAGTTAGATCTGGGTGAAGTAAGAGGAACAAGGTCACACATCTAAGAAATTCTGAGTTCAGGCTGCCTTAGGACTGTCTAGGTTGTTGCTGTGGGTTCAGGACCCTGAAACGGGAGATCAAGAGGGAGCGTATCGTGAGTGTGGCAGAGAAGTGATCTGTGCAGTTGTTGGAGAGGCTGAAAGAGAAAACCTTGACCTTCTGACCAAAGGTGGCAAAAATATTTTGTGTTCTAAGTCAAACAACATGTGTGTGTTCTTAAAAAAGGGATTTGCAATTTATTCTTAGGGTATTGTTTTTATTGTCCTAGGACCTGTGGGACAGCTGGAGCCCTTGTGATTGAAGACAGTGTGCGGGATGGGCGGGCATGAGGGCTGGACTCCCGCAGACGGGAGTCCTAATACATCCTTGCTTCTCGCCGGGACTGTGCTTACACTACTTAGCCTTTCTGGCCTCGGTTTTCTGTAAACCACGGTATCTGCTTCTTTGAGCTTTGTGAGGAACAAGTAGTATCTAATGACCCAGCACAGCGTCTGCTTTTCTCTTCCCCTCATTGAAAAGCTCGTAGAAGTTACAGGTTTTGATGCAATCAGATTTCATGAGAACGTACAGAGATGTAGTTAAAGAATCTTTCACACAGCAGAGGGCACTGGAGAAAGGGTTGTTGCATTTAACCAGAGTCACTGGGCAGAGCTCTACAGGAAAAAATGAAAATATTTATTTTATTTTTTCAAAATTTATTTTAAAGATTTATTTATTTGAAAGGTAGAGTTAGAGAGAGAGAGAGAGAGAGCGAGCGAGTGCCAGCTTCCATCCGCTGGTTCACTCCCCCAAATGACTGCAAAGGCTGGGGCTAGGCCAGGCCGAAGCCAAGAGCCAGGCGCTTCTTCCAGAGCCCTCGGACCGTCTTCTACTGTTTTCCCAGGCGCATCAGCAGGGAGCTGGATTGGAAAGTGGAACAGCTGGGTCTCGAATCAGCGCCCATATGGGATGCCGGTGTTGCAGGTGGAGGCTTAACCTTCTGTGCCACAGAGCCAGCCCCTATTTTTTTTTAATTTCTTTAAAGATTTATTTATTCATTTGAAAGTTACAGAGAGAGGAGAGACAGAGAGATCTTCCATTCACTGGTTCATTTCCCCAAATGGCTGCAATGACTGGGGCTGGGCCAGGCCAAAGCCAAGAACAGGAGCTTCTTCCAGGTCTCCCATATGAATGTAGGGGCCCAGGGACTTAAACCATTCTCCACTACTTTCCCAGGTGCATTAGCAGAGGGCTGGATCAGAAGTGGAGCAGCTGAGGCTCAAATCAGCACCCAGTGTGGGATGCTGGTACCATAGGCCGAGACTTAACCCCCTGAGCAACAGCACCTGCCCTAAATTTTTATTTCTAATTGACACATAGTGATTGTACTCACCTTTGTGGTGTACAGTGTGACATTACCCTAAACGTATATGTGTAATGATCAGGTCAGGATGACTGAGGTACCCATCACTGCAGACATTTATCATCTGTTCCTTTCAGTCAGGAATCATGGCTCTTCTGGTATCTTTTTCTCTGTCTTCCCAGTCTTGGGTTTTCTGGTGAGGACACCACCTAGCCTACTTTCAGGCTTAAGGTTCGTTATAAGGTTACACTGCAGTGCAAGTAGCCGGAGAAACCATCTGAAGAGCCGTATATTTGTGTTGGGACCGCAACCCAGCATCTTTGGTACCATCTCCTTATTCACCTGCTCTATATACTTGGTGAAAGATGTTTAGCAGGAGGGTGATAGATAACATAGTGGTTAAAAGCCCCAGTGCTAAATTCAGCCTACTGCTTGGGTTTAGATTCTGCTGCTTTTATTTTTTTTTAAAGATTTATTTATTTAGTTGAAAGAGTTATAGAGAGGCAGAGGCAGAGAGAGTGAGAGAGGTCTTCCATCTGCTGGTTCACTCGCCAAATGGCTGCAATGACCAGAGCTGGGCCCATCTGGAGCCAGGAGCCAGGAGCTTCTTCCAGGTCTCCCACACAGATGCAGAGGCCTAAGAACTTGGGCCATCTTCCACTGCTTTCCCAGGCCATAGCAGAGAGCTGGATCGGAAGAGGAGCAGCCGGGACTCGAACTGGCATCCATGTGGGATGCTGGCACTGCAGACAGCGGCTTTTACCTGCTGCACCACAGCACCAGCCCGTGCTTCTTCTGTTTTTAGCTTCCTACCTTGGACAAGTTGTGCCGTCTTGTGCCTGGTTCCCCCTACACTGGAGGTAATAATAGCACCTGTTGTTGAGGGCGATGGTCAGTGAGAGGCGGCCTGTGTGCAGGGCACAGTGCCCTGCAGATTGATGCTGTCAGTAGATGGTAGCTGCCGTTGTGGCCACTTCGCTGTCATCGTCTTCTTTTGGTGGGGGCTGTTTGCCGTCATCTAGCAGGGAGTACCCCTATTTGGGTAGAGTTTGCCATTGAGCTCGCTCCAAGGCAGTGGCTGGGTTCCAATGTCAAAGCTACA